ATTATGGCAAACTAATAGATAACATCTCTTAAAATGTGCATACATTTTTTGTCACTCCATGTGTATACAATTAAGAAAAAATATAATCAAAAAATTCAGAGCCTGAAAACGAAACAAAAGAACTTCGCACAGTTCTCAAAAAAGAGATACACTTTCCAGAAATTAGGCAAAATATGATATAGGCTCTGTTGTTACTGTCCCAAATTAAGGAAATTTTAGCTTACCAAACAAGATAAATAGTATGTTTAAAAGCCTAACATTTTGCCTGAAATATTATTACATAGTAATTATTCAGTCAACATTCCAACTACTACATGGTATACAATGCTATTTTGTTTGGTGTTTGCTGAACTGAAATGATAACAGCTTCCATCTTCCATTGGTGTAAGGTTGGTCTGGATCTCCATCTAAAATATAGTGTCTGCTTCACAACCCTCAACCTGTGTTTTGGAATGCATTCTTCTGTTTATAGTTTCTTGGTCGTTTTAGTGACACTGGGCTCCTAATAATATAGGATGTTAGTTTGCTCTATGTAAGTACTATAGTGAATATTGCATTTCTGCATTGTCAAGTTGTCGTTTCTAAATTGTATGAGCCCTGCATATATCAATAAAGTCTTAACTTACAATTTAAAAAATGTTATGGTACTGGAAATCTACTTAGTGCCAGCATGACTTCCATATATAAGAAATGCACATAGAGAAGAAATCCTGAGAACTGTAGACTGATGACTCTTAGTTGAATATACTGAAAAAGAATATCATCTGTTACATTCTGTCACTGGATTGTAAACTCCAAAAATGCAGAGCATTTGTCTCTTTTACTTGCCATTTTTTTCTCCTAAGGTAGAGTTTCTTAACCTTGACACTATTGATATTTTGGACTGGATAATTCCTTGTTCTGGAGAGCTGTTCTGTGCATTGTAGGATATTTAGTACTATTCCTACTACTAAATAGGACTCAACTCACCAGTTACTATTAGACCTTTCCCCAGTTGTGACAAATAAAAATATCTCTAGATGTTGCCAAATGTCCCCTGGGGGGAAGATTGCCTCCAGTTGAGAACCTAAAGAATAGAATAGTGCCTGGCAGATAAAAGACACGCATCAAATATTTTTGGAGTGACTGAAGATAGGAAACAACAGTATTTCATGAAGTGTACCTCTTGTAGTATGCTTTGAATATCTAAGTGGAACCTGGAAACATTTCTGGAACTTTAATAGTTATGTATTTTACATGCATTAGACAAATATGTATATATTTATATCCATATCCATGATTTTGCATTCTATTTTATAGGACAAGGCTAAAGTGAATACTGAAGTTTAAAAAGTGACCTAATTGGAATAAACGTTAAGTGTATACAATAGATGTATTAAGCAAAACTCATAAAATTGATTAAAGTGGTATGTGAATGGCTGGAGTTTGAAGCACTGATCTATGCTTCAGGAAAACTTAGGCAAACATGACCTTCCCTTAAGTTTGGTGTGTGTAAGCCATTCGAACTCTCACTGGGAGTGATGTAACGCCTTGTACAGGTTAGCTGCAGGTGTAGAAGACAAGGTGCTTACCCTCTGAGAATTAGATATTATAAGGTATGAACATCTGTATGAGGTGGCACATAAGTTCCATATTCTATGAGAGTTCAACGAAAAAGAGATTACTTACTGCTTGAGTAATAAGGTAAAGCATCACTGCTGATATTGAAGGATGAGTGTGATTTTTTAGGAGTAGATAATGCAGAGGAAAAGAGCAGAGACATAAAGTTGAAACAATTCAAGGCATATTTAAGGGATGAGTGGAGACTAGTTTGGCTGGAGTATAGTATAACTATTATGGAAGGTAGAACCTGGTTGTAGGGGGTGCTTAATGCCAGGATGTGTAAACACATGCAACAGTGATTAAATTTTCTAATGTCTTGCTAAAATTTGCTTTGTTGTTATTTTTGCTGTTGTTGTATTTAATGTGTTGCCATTACTTTAGAAGTAATGTTTAATTTGGGGTGGGGACCTGACTGGGAATCAAGATTGATAAATATTCCTGGTTAAAGATGTATAAAAACTAACACGCGCATACACGTGCATGCGCGTGCATGTGCGCGCGCGCGCGCGCGCACACACACACACACACACACACACACACACTAGTTGAAAGAAGGGACTAGGGTCTAGTACAACAGGGTCAGAGTGAAAAGACCATGACATCAAATGAAGCAGGGAGGTAACCTGAGATTGAGGAGTTTGAGGTTTAGAGTGATATGAATAGTAGGCCATGAACCCTCTATCTCTGTAAGGAGATTGTCTTTAAAACAAGATGCTGATATTTTGAGGTTTACTATTGGTATGCTGGGTGAAGTGGCTAACAGGTAGTATTGATTTTTGTCTCCTTGGTTTTATCTTTCCCTGAAAGATAGCTGACTGCAATGATGGCTGTTGTCTATACCATTCTGACCTCTGAAGAGGCAATTCCTCTTTGAAAATCCTGGCCCATGCCTGAAATCCCTTTCCTTTGTGGTTCCCCCTAACACAACTGAAATAAGCTTGATTCTCTTCTAAAAGACTTTATTAAATATTAAAGAATAAACAAGAAACAAAATGAGAGAAGTTCTGCCAGATTTACCTAGCAATTCTGATATTACTGTCCCTGGTCAAGCCACTCTCGTCCCTCAAATCTCCTTCCCCTACTTCTCCCAGAGATATCTTCTTAAAATCTCCATTTAGCTATATTACTCCCCTGCTTATTTCTTTTCTTCTTCTTCTTCTTCTTCTTTTTTTTACTTTATTTTATTACAAAGATGTGGGATACAAGTCACGATTAGGTACATAAGTAATGTATGTGTAGGTGAAGTTTGGGCCTCCAACTGGTCCTCACTTCCCCTGGTTTAGGACCAAGTACTCTTTGTGTTGTTACGTGCCCCCACTTCCTCCCTCCCCTGGCAGTGTCCTGCAACTGCTGATCACTCCCTTGTGCTATTGTGTTTAATGTTCAGGCCCCACTTATGAGTGAGAATATGTGGTATTCGGTTCTTTGTTTCTGTGGTAGATCACTGAGGATGATTGTCTCCAACTCTATTCTGTTTGCTGAGAAATCCTCCTTTCCCTACTGCTGCCAGAAATATCTTCTTAAAATCCTAATTTAGCTATATCACTCCTCTGCTTAATTCTTTCATGGCTTTTCATTTGTACATGGGTACATAGATTACAATTTGTATATAAACTTTCTTTTGATATTTCCTACAGTATGAAAAGTTTTATAATTATATTGACATGATGATTATTTTATTTATCTGATTTGGAGGGTTACAGTTAAAATTGAGATGATACTTGGGAAGGGTGAGGACTTTTTTGTGAGAAGATATAAGAGTTCTAGCTCTTTCCTAAAGCCTTCCCAGAATATCTTCAAAAGGATCAGGGTCACTAGATTTCAAACTCTGCTTTCTATAGTGCTGGGTTTCTGATGAGATATTTCCAGGCTGCCTCAAGGATAAATCCCAGTAGGTGGGACTACAGCCCTCCACCTCAATTTTACCTGAAGAGTTCTGCTCTAACCCATTTTATATATTGGTAGTCTGCATGAGATATTTTCAGGACTGTCTACTGCTTCCAAAAAAGGTGGGCTGATGAGCAATCATTAGATGATTTCTAAAGTTCCTTTCAGCTTCAAAATTCTCTGAGAATCCAACCCCTTTTATTTCTTTCGTGAGTCACTTTATGTTAATTTTGTTCCATATAATTAGTATCTTGTTAGAAAATAATAGAATTTCATAACTGCAAGAGGCTTTACCAGTTATCTTGTCCAGGTTCCCAAAATAAGCTCCAAAGAATAGGACTCTTGAGAAATGTTGACTACTTAAAAAAAGGACTACGTGGCCAAATACTTTGAGACTGTATTTTTGTCACAAAAATTGGCATTTTGAAAGGCTCTAAGAAGTCTGTAATAAAGAAACCTGTTTAACCTTAAGTTAGCATTTATTATATTTATTTGATCAAAGAACCCTGTTTTTTGAAAACACACTTTTAACCATCTTGTGGCGAGTAATTTGGAAACACTTGTATAGTTCAGAACCCTCCTTTCGCAAAGAATTTGAGCTATAAATCGATTTATCCAGTGTCACATAGCTGGTTATCAGGACTCAATTTAATATTTATTTATCAATTGTCTCTGCTTAACTTCAAGTAGGTTATAAATTCTTTAATGGATTGATAGATTACATCTTATAGCTTTACCACTCAGGTGCTTAGTTTAATATTGAGAACATGGCAAGTGAATAATAAATGTGTGGTAGCCCTATGATTGAACCCTACAAGAAAATAAAACATTATGGTGTAAATTAGCTTCTGTTTATGCATTTTTTAAAATCTATTGAAAACAGAATTGCTACTCTCCCAAGCACACCCTCCCTCTGCAATTGCAGTATGTGCTTTTTGTTTCTCCAAAATTTCTGTTGTCAGTAGTTTACCGTCATTGATTCATACTCTTTATTGGAAATAACTCTGTGGGCTGCTTTGCCTCCGGAATAATTTGATTAGGAGCACTGCTTAACACTATTCAGGAAGATGTTACGCTATACAGGGTATTGGATTTGCCACAGAATTATATTGAAGGGAAACCAGGGACAAGGAAGCTAATAATATGCTAACCTAGTTATTAACATTGAGTCTTTTGTTGTTTTTGCCTGCCACTTTTTGTTGATATCATTGTCTCCCTAAGAACTAAGAATGTCACCAATTTGATGATTTTTATTTGGCAAGGACAGAAACTGGTACTAGATAAAGAAGATTATAGTAAGTTTATCTACAGCCTATACTTCCAGAATACCATGCTTCTGTCCTCTGAGGTTAGATATCTGTTTGTGATGTAGAAAACATTTATGTAAGAGAGCAAGATTGGAATGCATTGAAATGAAATGCTCACATTGACCACATCAGCTGTACTGAAGCTTATCTGATGTAGTGACTCAGCCTCTGTGAATCTGACTGTCTGTGCTCTATTTTGTACAGGAAATCATTATCCAGGGACCTGCTGGAGACCACTAGAAAACATGGGGAGAGGTAAGTTTCTCTTCCCTTTTAAGTAATCTAGACTCTCTCCATAGCCACGGTAGCCAGGAAATTAAATTTGCAAGCCATAGTATTTTTATGAACACCTAGGTTGTATTTTTTGTTAGTATTAGAAAGTGTTTGTCTGAAGCAGAGCTTTGCAGAGAAAGAGATATGACCACATGTTGTTTGCTGAGTCTTTGATTTTCTTCTGCTATTTTGTAGAGATCTTCCAGTACAGGGAGAGATGACTCAAACCTGACACTCTATAGACCCAAATCCAACTTCTTTACAATTCTTTTGATGTTTCTAATTTTTGTTAATAGTAACATAAATTTTTAAAAGATTCCATTATGCACCTAACAACAGTAGTAAAAAATTCATCTGTGATGTTGATTTTTAAATGGTTTTGGTTTTCCTTAAAATGTTAAAGCCCAGCATTAAGAACTATTAGATTAAGTTTTTTGTGTTTATTTCTGCTTTCTCATAAGACTACTTATGGGTAGTAGACAACAGACAAATTTAAGGTCTTCACTGTTGATATTAAACAGTCATCACAGTGATTTTATAAATAACTTTAATTAATGTAGATCATGTTAACCTAAAATAATCAAAAGGGTTAAAATCTGGTTTAAAGAGAGTTTACTCAAGCACAAAGTTTGAAGATGGGCCCATCTGGGAAGTACAGGTTCCAAAGAATGGAAGTCAGTCTTCCAAAGTGTAAAAGTTAGGGATCACTTATACAGACAACGTGTGGGGAATGTCAGCATCTTTCTATGTAAGGTTTTATGCATAGTTACAATGATCTCATTAATCAAAGTGATATTTTTTTTTCAGGAAAGGTATATTTAACACTCCACACTGAAGATGTAACTGTCCCTGTTTGGGGCACCATCCTGTCTGAGTTAGGTACAGGTCAATAAAAGAGGCAGTTAATCTATAACAAAGATCAGTGATTGGAAAGGGGAGGTCTGATCTCAGGTCTTTCCTAGTAATCTACAGAGCAGGAACAATGAGAAAAAGAGTTAAGCTATAATCTAAGAAGCAGAATTGCAAAACATGTTATATGACTAAGGTCATAGTCACATCTGTCTCAAGGCTTAAAGCATTTTTGCAATTCCAACAGCTTTTAAATTTTATTTATTTTCACAATCGTAAAACCAGAGTGCTATGAAGGGCCTCAGAGGAAGACTTGGTATGGTGTAATACAAAGAAAAGAGTACTGGACACAGTCAGAAGACCTGAATTCAAGTTCTACCTCTATTACCTTGATCAAATCCTAGAGCTTCCCTAAACTTGTTTGTTCATCTCTGAGACAGGATTTATATATTCTGCACTTCTAGCCTCAGGAAGCTGTGGTCTGCATAATGTGATAATAAGCATGAAAGTGTTTTGAGAACTCCAAAGTGTAATGGAATAGAGCGATGGTATCTGCTCATTACTGTCCTTATTGAATAAGTGTATCTTCATTGGTTCTTTTAATGATCGAAATTAAGTTAGTTGGTCAGATGCTTCTGTAGGTAGCAGGGCTGGGACTAGTGTCATGCAAGTAACTGAGAGTTCTTCCTTATGTTGCACCTTGCTTACTCCACCCTTGTGTGGGCCCTCATAGGTAGCCCCAAGGATTATGGATCAGTCATGGAAAGTATCTTCCTGAACCTTGTTGAGTCAGCTTTTGTGTCTATTTTCTCTAGAACCTCCTTTGGAAACTGATTAGTTTTAGGGATCCTGATTTCTTCCAAACCTGCAAAAGAAATGCCAATCTCTGATGGTTTAGAAAGCTTCAAAATAAATACAATTTTTTAAATTAGTCAAAATTCTGAGACTAATACATGCCAGATCCTACTGGAAAACAACTGTTAATAGAAGCTTCCAGAATAGCTCATCTCATGACTTGGTCCTTACCCAATCCCAAAAGCTTCAGGTAGATTTGGAGAATGTTCTGGTTTGGGGATACCAATAGCTATGTGGAGAAGAGAGCTGCACTGAGACTAGGAAACCCATTCTTTCTAATTTCCTTTTCCTTTTCAAACTGCTAATCAGTTTGAAAAGAAAAAGGAAAGAGGATCATTAGGTGCTTACTTTAAAAGATGCTACAAATGGTCAGGCAATTAATATATGGTTGACTCTTAAACGATGAGAGGGTTAGGAGCCCTGACCCCTCTCCCACACAGTTTAAAATCTAGGTATAATTTTTTACTCCCCCAAAATTTAACTACTAATAGCCACTGTTTAATGAAATCCTTACTGATAACAAGAAGTCAATTAACACATATTTTGTATGTTTTATATATATATGTATGCATATATATTATACACTGTAGTCTTACAATAAAATAAGCTAGAGAAAATATTAAGGAAATCATAAGGAAGATAAAATATATTAACTATTCATTAAATGGAAGTAGATCATCATAAAGGTCATTCTTCTGCTCCTCTTCACTGTGAGCAGGTTGAAGAGGAGGGGTTAGCTTTGCTGTCTCGGTGTGGCAGAGGCTGAAAAAAATCCATATTATGGGTGGACCCACACAGTTCGTGTTGTCCAAGAGTCAACTGTAGTTCCTGCTAAAGATATGGTAATGTGATCTGCAAAGATGGGCGTGTTTCCAAGCTGGAGATGAGATAAGGGAAGTCCTTCAAAGAATGCTGCTGTTACATACACAGAAGCTTGTGATACCAGCATTTTGACTGTGTTGTGTTGTGTTGACCACTTTGAAAGCATTTGTAACATCCTGAATCTCAAAGAGACTCTGTCTTTTATTCTCTAAGTTTTGCCTAGTTTGCCTGATTACATTTGTTAGTTGCTGGCACTGTTATTGGGGAAAAAAGATGCTACTGTGTGCTCATTTTTTTTTCTTTTTTTTTTTCTGGCACGATACAATGTAGGTTTTACTGGATTTGGCAAAGATTCTCATAAACATAGCTCAATGTATCATACAAAAGAATACAGAGGAAAATATTGCAAATATATGGTACTACCTAATTAGATGAATTAAGGATTCATGAAAACAAAGAACACAGCTGGACAAATGTACAGTTTAGGTGAAAAATTAAAATTGAGTTAAATTTCTTTTAGTATTATTTGATATTAGATGCAGAAATTATCTGTAAATATGTGTTGGAAGAATCTATACTTTATTTATGTAACAGGAAAGATTATAAATAAAGTCTAAGTCTTAAGAGACAGAGGTGGATAAGACCAAACTTGTGTATTTTATTTCTTATTAGTCCACCACCATTGTCCATAGTGTGTATGTTGAAATCCCACTTACTATATAAGAATTCTTAGCTAGAATTAAGTATTTAGAACTCTTAAGAATCTATATATCTGACTGGGAAAAGAGGGGCATACCTCATCAACAAGGGTCCCTGCAAAATGAATATTTGTATACCTAACCCTTAAGTGTACTCCACAATTTATATATATATACACACACACACATATATATATATAAAGGAATCTATATAGCCGGGTGTGGTAGCACACACCTGTAGTTCCAGCTACTTGGAAGGCTGAGACGGAAGGATTGCCAGAGTGCAGCAGGTCGAGGCTGCAGTGGCCGGGAGCGTGCGGTGGCTGGGAGCGTGCCACTGCACTCCAGCCTGGGCGATGGAGTGAGACTCCAACTCAAAAAAAAAAAAAAAAGAATCTATAGTTTTTCTGATATTAACAATTTTCTGTAGAACACTTTATAACTCACAAGTATTTCTGCTACATTATCTTATTTGAGTTGTAAGACAATCCTGTGATGTAAAGAGGGATCATTATCCTCGTTTTATATATAAAACTGGCTCATAAGAGGAAGTCTTATCTATAGTCCACAGCCTATTAATAAAGAACCAAAATGCAAAACTAGGTTTTCTTATGTTGCATTCAATTTTTATTTTCTTTTAATGAACCATGTTCTGAATATACTAATATGCAGGAATGTGTAAGTTGATTAAAAATTTAGGAGCTGTCTGTATCTGTGAGGGGTATAGAAGAAATTATTTTCTATTTTTCTATTTTTTATTTTAAAGATGTGGGGTATAATTCAGGATAGAAGAAATTCTTTTCTAAGATCCATGATAATGTTCGTATATCATGGGGGATTGGACAGATGGGCAACCAGAAATGTCTCAGTGTTCGCCAATTTTATGGTAACGGCTAAAACACATGTGTATCAGATAGTGGAGTGCTTCCAATATTAAAATTATCTCAGAGGCAGTGGTCCATGACTGCAGTAATTCAAAGGTAGCAGCGCTGACTGGCAGTGACCACAGCAGATAACATGATAATTCAGTTCAGAAGCTTGCACTGCACAATCCACAAGGGAAGGTGCCTAAAGTAAAGGGCCTTACACTGCTTACTTGGCCTGTGTGAAACTTAGAAGGGTTTTTATCTTCATGGTTTTGCTTAAAACAAAGAATATAATGCATCATAGAGCACCAGAACAGTATGAGATGACAAGGTGAGATGCTGGTCCAAAAAAGAACATCATGTATAAATTAAAATTATATTTAAAATTCAGGTAAAAAATTAGTATTTTCACAAATAAGACAATGTGAGGGTTTTCCAAAATGTGTATGTACAGGCTTACAAAATACTATGTATATAATATAGTCAACCCTTCATATCTGCGGGTTCTACATCTGCAGAGTCAAGCAACCAAGGATCAAAAATATTCCAAAAAAATAACAACACAACAATAAGAAATAATATAAATTTTAAAACCACACAGAATAACAACTATTTACATGGAATTTACATTGTATTAGATATTATAAGTAATCTAGAGATGATGTAACATATACAGGAGGATGTGCATAGGTTATGTGCATATACTACACCATTGCGTATCAGAGACTTGAGCATTTAGGTATTAAAACTTTATTCTACCTTTCATTCCTCCTTGGAGCAACTGGTATATTCATGATGGAATGATAAAAAATTCAGTACTTCCAGTATTATCTATACCTACAAGGCAATTTATTGATATTTTTCATGCTAAAAAAATTCTAGGTTATTGTTT